ACCCCCCCCCCCCCCCCCCGGCTTTTCCTTCAATAGAATAGTGCCTTAATGTTTCAACACAGAACAAACAACAAAATTTCGGCATCCTATCTTTCATTTTCCAACATATGAATTACTGCTAATTTACTATCAATGAAGGTAAAAACTGAAAAAGCAATAAATTGTCACATTACAGATAAAATTAGAAAAATACGCACTTTCCAGTTACTCGAATCGACGCCCCTTGCTTGAACTGTGTTGAAGAAGGATTCAATTCTTCTAACATCACCAATGCACCAGAGCTTATAGCTGATGCAGCCATTTTATAAAACCCCACAAATATAAAAAATGATGCAAAATTTTTCTTCTTATCCTGAAAGATATAAAGTAATTAAAATCCAAAATACAGTAAAAGACGCTGAACCAATCTCAAAAGGTGATGCATTGATCAGTGTCATTCCACAGTAGTAAAAGAAATCAAGAAAATGCATCTTCTTTTCTTGAAATTGAGTGATTAAATATATCTGAAATTAATTAGACATGGAAAATGGGCATAAAAAATAAAACCCTAATCAATACATACAGAAAAAATATATGCATATATGTATAGGAATATCATAGATTGGGTTTAGAGGTACCTTGGGGGAAGGATGAAAGCTTCTGTTTGTGGGTCGACTACATATGCCAGTTGAGTTGTAAGAACGCATCATTATCTTCGAAAATTTCTTCACTAGCCCTCAACCTATAGCTTTAAGTAGCAAGTTGATCCTTAAAATTTTCTTATAGTTACCATTTACTGTTCAAATTTGTGTTAAATAGTCTGTAATCCTTGGGTAGCGCTATACTCATCCATACTTTTTATAAGTGCATTTCACTCTAAATGCATCCATAATAAATTTTTTAAAAAATACTATTTACATCTACATTATATTTCAAAATTGTCCTTACTAAATTCATTCATTTAAATAACATATATCTATATAAATTTTATATATTCATCTCATTTTAAATGCATTCCCAACACTATTGATTCATTATTATTATTATTATTACTATTATTATTATTATTTTTTTTTTTTTTTAGAATCTGTAAGGAAAATTCGTACTAGAATGTAAATATTCACGACACATCTTTCATCCTATAATTAACGACATTATTTAGCCTTAACAAAATTACGAATTTATAATAAACTTACATAAAAGTTGAACTAATAATCACTTGTGAAGAATCAAAAATACCAACAATCTTTTTAGAAAACATAAAGTAAAACAGACATCAAATGTGTAAAATTTATTTGGAACTAGATTATCAGGGGAAAGTGAGAGTAGTTTAGTAATCATATTACATAACACCAAAACAATTTAAGATTAAGTCCTCCGATGACTACCACTACCCACAGTTTAGCTTCTTTCTGAAAATTTTTATAAACATCCTAGTATTTAAGAACTTGAATTCAGCAAAAGTCCAAATGATGCATTGTCTTGATTAACAGAATATTTTAGAGTCAAGCATCGGTTGTTTTGGAGATGAGAGAAATGGGCAACTGGCTTTTTTTAGAGCCATTCATCTTGGCTTCTTGCTCACGGATGTTCTACATTTGGAGCATTCTCTCTATAACAAGCTCTTAGTCGCACTTTTCATAGGTGTGGCACTCCATCTCACACTTCCAAGGCAAAACACAGTGCAATTCTAGAATGTGATGAGAAGAAGTGAAGCAGTAGGTGAGGAGAATCTCTCTCTCAGGGTTTTCTGGAACAGGAACTATTTATTTGGGTTTTAGGTGGTGGTGTAATTGTAGAATATTTTAATTACGCTAATTATATGATTTCATCAATTAATAAGGTAGTGATCAAATAAGTCAATTTTTTAGAGTATTGCCTAATTTTTCTTAATTATATTCATGTAATTTTTCTTAATCCATATAGGATTCTAGTTAAACACAAATTCTAAAAAAAAATAAAAAAAAGATTTAGGATAATTTAATGAAAGTAAAAATTAGTGGATCAATTTAGAGTTTTGTATTTTTATTTAATTTTGTTTATGTCTATTTAAGTAAATTTATATTGGATTTAAAAGATAAAATTTTTCTTAAAAAGTGGATGTACTTATAAAAAATGTGGATGAAAATAGCGCTACTCATAATCTTTCTATTCTAATTTTATGAAGTTATGTTTTAATTTAGTTGGTGTGCAGAAATTTGCCTACATGCTTTAGAAGTGGAGGAGCCAAGAATTTCACATAGGAGAAGGCGACGGAGGAAAATATAAACGTGTTGTGCATCTATCAAAATAAATAAATGAATATAATAAAAATAAAAATATCTACATAAATTAAAATAAAAATTGAAGATGTTGCAGAGGCAGTTGCTCCCTTTTGCTCCATCGGGGGAAGGGGAAGATCCTTGAGTAGCGGAAAGAACTTTAATACGATGTCACATCACAATTTTTATTTATTAGTTATTATCATATGGGTAAACGACTAAGAGCCCTACTGGTAATAATAAAAAATAAAACAAGAAAATTGCTTCTGATAAGCAATAAGATCATTATGCTTGAAATTTCGAAGTTAATAGGTCCGCAGGATTTGATGCTGTGACTGAAACTCTACAGAAAATGTGGACACATTGTACAAAATTAAAGAAGAGAGACGTATCGAATAAATTTGTCCAAGAAATGGCTTCTTGATGAGGAGCCAAAAAAATGTTACTCCTGAGAATGATTGCTTATTGTTGCTTCTTGTTTGGCCTTTACGACTTTGGACACAAATTAACAAATACAATCCTCTCCAACAACCACAGTTACATACATCTACTTTCTTCAACAGGGACTGTCCCTCGAAAAATACTGAATGTTTTGCCCTTTTCTCAATCCGAACCTGATACTTAATGAAACACTTGAGGTGAGGCATAGTACTCACTTTCATTAAATACAGGTCTTAAATCTTCTTTGGACATGAAATCCAATGGGAAAGAAACAAGATGTCCTTTCACAGACTCTAATCTCTCCATGGGATCCGTGCATTTAACGTCTCCATCTTCGTATGATTCCAACTTATTCGGGGCTATTCCTAAATCAATGGTAGTATGGCCAAGTTTCTCTCTCCAGAAAGCCATACATTGTCGGAGTGAAGCCCTGTGGATGCAATCATGCAAGTTTAACCACTGGAAAGTTGATCGGAAAAGAAAGTTAAGGATTGTGTAATACCTTGTATGTATGAGATCGTTTGGTATACAAGAGAAAACGTCTTGGTAGATCATCGTATTTGTCTGTCAATCACATATTCGAAAAGGCGAAGACTATCACACGCAATATAATGTGAAATCATATGTTTTAACCAAACGAGCATTATGACCTTTCCAAAGTAAATTAACGTATAAGTAAACTTTTTCAAGTCTAACCATGCTTAAAATCTCAAAAAGAAAAAGTAAAATATTCGAATGAAGCTTTTGGGTAGACCTATTTCTAGCAAAAGAGTCAGAAGCTTAATATTGTCGCAAAATTGCATAATTCTCACCTTTGCAGTAGCCATCCATATATCCTTATAGGTCGAATCAATCACTGGATCCCTTATTTGATCAACCTAAAAGGGCAAAAATTAAATTGTTAGATCATAAAGAAAAATTTCTTTATTTTACAAATCTCATTCCCATTAAATTTGTCTGTGCAGTAATAAAAGCAGGTTATTCTAGACAACCTCTCCTGCACGGAGACCAAGATGCTCGGACCATAATGAAAGGCGAAGACTCAATGCAAATTTTCCAGCTTTCCACGAATTGCCTCCCATGCAGGACTCAACCAATTCTTTGTCTTCAATAAGCATGCCGATCTGTTAAAATTACATCCATGTGACATTCAGAAAGTAGCTATGCCATTTGATACAAGCTATCCCTGCTGAAATATAATTTTAAGCAGTTCAGTTAAAATTTTGGGCATACCTCAGAATCTCTAGATCCAATTAAACTTCTATCATTGATATTGGCTGAGCCAATCAAAGTTGTATGGTCATCAATTATCAAGATCTTGCTATGAACGTACACCTGAGGAAACAAAAGGAATATTAATACTCCAAGCATATGAATATTACACAAGCTCTAAAATGTATCTATTACTTTATGATTAAAAAATAAATAAATTATCTGTCCCCTCCCTTTAATCAGAAGGAAAAGAAAAGGAAACTAATCTGTCCTGCATTTTTGTATAACATTGATTATTTCAAACCATCCAGAAGCAATATAATCCAGCAAAGACTACCGCAAAAATTGCAGGCATATGGAGAAAATCATAATTTTACGTAAATTTCAATTAACTTACTACTACTCTCGTTATAAAGTTTATCCATCAGACAGACATGTCAGGGAAGTACAATTTCCTTCTACTTCAGCCTAATTTTCTTGATGAGTCCCTTGGTGGTTCCTTTAGCACCATGTGACAACTGGAGCCTATCATGAAAAACTCAGGTTGCATACAAAAATGTCATTTTTTGATCATATCAAGTTATTTCTAAATGTTGAAGCTCTCCAATATCTAATATTCAGTGATATCGTAATCTTTATCAATGAACTTTTCTCATCGGTATCCTTCCAAAAAACAATTTAGCATCCCTAGCAATCTTACAAGTCAACAACCAAAAAGCTCACATTTTCCCTTGGCATGTGGTCCATAACTTTTCTTCCCAACAATAATTATGAACATGCTAACAATTTTATTCCAATAATTACTGTTAACACAAACACAAAATTCCTCTCATGATTCTAGACACTAGAGAACATATTTTACTGCTCTGAGGGTAGTCCTCACTACAAACTTACTGTGCAGATGTTAAGAACTGACCACTACATTCACATGGCAGGGTAAACAAGCAACTGACTACACTAAAGGCTTAAGCAACTGAAGTAACATTATAGAAGAATACCCATGATTCAGGAACTACATGATATGATCAAGGTAGAGGCCGTATGCATTGGAGGTCTATATGAAAATTGCAAGTATACCTGACTAGAGGCCACCGGACCGTCATCAAAAAGTCTGCCATATGCTCTCAAACCATAAAAAGATAAGTAATCTTGCATTCTAGGCCCAACAAGATCAAAAAGATTATGTAATATTGAATTAGGTCCTCTGCATATTGATCGATATTGCCAATGCATAATAGCTCTGACAGATGCAGCACCAGCATCATCCATACCACCCTAATTAAAAAAAAAAAAAAAAAAAAAAAAAAAAAAAAAAAAAAAAAAACAGAATCAATAACATAAAATATTTTCTTTTATTCCAGAAAGATTACCCAAAAAGAAGTGTTGGTACCTGGAAGCCAGGTAAAAGAGGTATCACAATGATAACCCTGAAGCACTTCTTCTCATTGTGGGCTCGCAAAATACGTCTGTATAATGCATCTAAAACACGATTACGTATGATTTCATCACCTTCTAGACCTGAGATGAAGAATTGATTCTGGAAAAAAATTGCACAATAAATACATTTCAGGAGAATAGTTCTTCACACTTTTAGAGCCTAATGGAATCCAACAAAGAAGGAAAACAAATTTAAACAATAATGATGCAAACTGTTGGCAAATCAGTTTAAGAAGATACTCAACGACCTCAATTAAAAGATTTCAGTTGTCACTATCAGGATTATCTCGTTAGTCCAATTTATACTTTCTTTTTTATTTGCCTTTTCATGCTTCTTTCCTCTTCCAAATAGTATTTCACCATGTATCTCCAAGTTCCAATATGAAAACTTGCCATGGACTTGTAGAATTAGCCATCTTATCACGCTCTCCTTGGAATTGGTCTTATGAATTCATTCAAACAAAAGATTTTTCCTTGATCACAGGCCACAAGAAACATTTTTATATTTACTTTCCGGTCTAGATCTCCAAGAAAAGTGACCAGGTATATTCAATTCAATCACTAAGTTCTACAAAACCAGATTTAGTGGGTGTGTTGCTCGATAAACTGTTTAAGAGTATGAATGACGAGAATTTATACTTTGCTTAGATATAAGATCGTGGTACACTTATAACTTGTGGTTGCATAATAAGATAAATTGTCAAAGATGCCAGGATGCACATTAGTTATGAGTCAGCCACTTCATTACAAATGGGACTGTTTCAGGTTTTTTGCTGTTTCTTATGCTATGCATTTGAATCTATCAGCAGGAATCTTCTGAAATTCCACGGTGTTTGTGTGCTTGATAATTGTGTACTTGCACTTTTTTAAAATGTGAAATATAGTTCTGTGCACACATTATAAGATATTGGACCTACTTGCTACATTGCTTTCAACATATACATACTCTTATGGACAAAAAATAATCAATGAAATTAGAACTTGGGAAAAATATTTATTACAGACCTCGATATAAACATAATGTTCAGCCTTTTCAATCAGTGAACAATAAGCAATGTGTATACTTTCTTCAATTTGGCTTGTTCCAGCAGACCACTGACTCACACTCCTTATAACCTGAGAATCATACATTGGTCATAAGAGTAAGACAATTTGCAAACAAAACACATATATAAATTATCTGAAGCACCTAAGCAAAAGCTGTCAAGCAGCAAATCAAAATGGTGCTAGACAGAGGGCAAATGCGCAGATCTTAGTAGTTTGTAAATTTCTTGTGCCAAAAGTTTCTTTCTTAGGCACACATATAAAAGACATGAACATAAATTTTTTTCAAATTCTTCAGTACAATTGTAAGCAAATAAGTAGTCAAAGATCATATTCACATACGAAAATAAAATATGGCAAAAGCATAAAATTTTACGCTTGGTAAATAATTCGAATGTGGCAGTTTCACATTTGTAAGCTGGTTAAACATGCTTTGTATCCACAATTTAGTAAGACCTACAACTTCTTAACTACTTATATTATCCACACATTTCGTAGGACCCATTAGTGGTTCTATAAGGGGGCCTCCCAGGTCTCCAATAGTTCCGCTTAACCCCATTTGGACTCAGTAAAACGAACTTCTGGTTTTGACTCGGATCTATTCTGGACTACTCACTTCTATAAGCACTTGAAGTCAATAACAAACAAACACATAATTCTCAGGGTTGTAAATAAAGTATATGTGACTACAATAGTACACTTTATCAGAGACTTTAAAGAGGATAATTTAACACCTTGTCAAATCAAAGACGATTAGGCACTGCAAGAAGTAAAGCTCACCTGGCAGCGACATGCAACACGAGGGCCAACCTGTCCAATTTCATCTGGAGAAACAACGTGGTCACCTCTTTCCTGCATTTCCCACCATTCTTTCTCTGAAATTTCTGAGCCAGGCTGGGTTACATGGGACAACTCCCTCTGGAAATTCAAAGTGTCAAATTCATCAACGAAACCTTTCATCGGCATATCTGAAATTAATGGTTCAATTTTGGATTTGCGGAAAGAGAAAGGGCTTCTGCTGACCCTGCTTGGCTGAACCTGAAGATCATGTTCAGTATTCAACCCATTCAGATTCGTGTCTCCCATTAAAATATCCTGCTCATCTGCCTCTTGAGGAATAAGTAAAGGTACATCCTGAAAGGATGAACGAGAGGAAAGAGAATCGTGTCTTTTCACATCTTCATGACTAGCCTTATTCCCAACCTCTAACACGCTGCTTTTTCCCATATAATGGGGGATAACCATGTGGTGTTGAGGCATAAGTAGTGGAATTGCTTGTTCATTGGGAGCTTTATTTCTCTGGAAAATTGAGTAACAATGTGAAATCACATGACAATTATAGGTTTACAACTCATAATTCCAACAAAGATATCAACCTTTGCATAGTTCCAACGCTGCACAAAGTGCCTGGCTACATCACGACAAGGCGGTCCCCAAAAGGCACAGTGCACATCATGCCATGGCATCCGCGGATATTTTTTTCGATCTAGTTCATCCTTCATCGTGTCATCCCATGTATTTGGTTCTGATTCCCTGAAATTTGGTATCATGTGAAGCATTTTGCAATTGTTAAGAAATTCTTTTCAAAATTTGAACTAAAAAATGCAATGAAGCAAATTCCTAATATAGACTGACTGTATTATATATAAAAATATGACTAATACAACTGACAAATTCACAGAGCACGTGACAGCATTCACGTCGACAAACGATAGTGATTGCCTCACATCTTAATGTCAGATAAGGTAGAAAACCATCTAGAAGTTTATTTGTTAAATATTTTGCTAATAATTAGAGCAGAGCAAATAGGATCCTATCAACTAAAAAAATCAAGATTAGTCACAAGTGATCAGATAGTAGAGCATTTTCTTAAGCTTGATTCTCAACAACAAATAGTAAGGAGCACACAAAAATGACAAATTCTTGTATGACTATATTCAAAACTACAAGTAGAACATACCTTGGGTTGTAATAATCCTTGCCAGGCCATATTACAGAAGGATAGTCTCCCACTTTATGATCAGGAAAGTCATAACGGCCAAAGCATAGATCAAGTCCTCCTATGAAACATATCTGGTGATCAACGATGACAATCTTTTCATGGTGGGACCTGTAAAAGAGTAGATATGACATCATCATGGACAAACTTCTGTTCGACTAACAAATGATAATCAAAACAAAAACAGAAGAAATATAAGAAATGCCTTCTCATACCACAAGTAGACCCCACTAGAAAAATGATCAGGATAGCGAAGTACTCTGACATTCTCGTGAATGTCTAGAAGCTTTCTCTTGCTATAGACGCTGTTAATTTTGAGTGCTAGAGCAACCTCTTTGTACAAAAGAATGTAAATCTGCAGGGATAAGTTAAATATAATCCATAAAATATTCAAGTGACTCAAATATGGTATAGAAAAACATTATTTAATAAAAACAAGAAAATGTATGTATTAGACAGATATCATGGCTAACCAATGAATAATGAATTTTCAGAAAGAAAGAAATGTGCTGGTAAGTCTCATATCAATCCTCCGAAAAGATAGTGCCAACAAATAAAAAACCTCGGTGTTGAGTTGTTCAATAGCGATAATACTTAAGTCATAAGCTTCCTATGCTAAAGCCAACATTTAGCACATAAAGCAGAGAAAAGAAAGATTCCCATGCTAAAGCCACCTCTATATAGTCTAAATGATTACTCTAAACCTAAGGTTCTGACCGTAAAGAAACATAACGAAAACAAGTATTAGATTTATTTACAACAGGATAACATTCAATAACTAATCAGAAAGAGTGACCAAAAGCTAGCTCAAAGACCTGACTTAGTAAATTTGTCAGCCATAGCACTGTATTTAACCATGTGGTCATAAAATGCTTCCTGAATACTCTGTGATTATAGCAACAAAAATTTCCAAAACGCTACCATAATAAATCTAAATGGTAGCCACTAGTAGGGATGCAAGCAAGTGGAGCTACTCACGCTTGTGTCATAATTGATAAAATACTTGAGCCCAATATTCCTTGACATCTTTTCAGCTGCTGCTTTTATAACAACAACCTACTCTTGGCTACAAGCCTGCAAGCTCCATTCTTACATAACCCAGGAGGTAGAGCCTTGCATAATATTGACAAAAACATACAGGCCACACGATTTACCTATTCTTTGGATTTATTAATGTGATAGTTAAGACAACAGGAAATTAGGCTTATTTTACAAGTTATAGGGATCTCAATCATGTTGTTGGCTCCATTCTTTGAGTTTTCAAGTTCATTTTTTACAAGTAAAAAGCAAGAGCTTAAACAAATTGGTTACAACTAGCTTATCTTTGTTCATGTATGTACTTTCATTCCAATTCATCATCTTTCTAGTTTGCTTTAAAATCACCGTCTGAACTTAGAAATGTGTCCTAGTCTCCCAAACAGAAAACAAAAATCTTTTACCTATATTATTAGCATATGAACTAAATAAATATTGTTTTCCTCATGACTTTATGTTTTCTACTATACGAAGTTTAGTGATTCTTATTTAGTGTTATCAAATAAATATAAATGAGAGCTCCAGACGTGGTCTTTGGAATTTTGTTTCTAATTCACCTATTATATATATAAATATTATAATATTTTTTGCCTAATTTTATATATTTGACATAGATGCCATATACTGACCTTAAGTTTCTTTTACACCCTTAAAAATCATTTAACAGTAAAATCATCAAGCAAGTTGCATTATGTTAAATGATGATCCATCCACTTAATGAGAATCCAAATGCCACTGCTGCAGCCTTCACCGAAACAACTACCACAGAAGCCACCAATGATGCTGAAAATGATGATAGTGTATTTTAGAGAGACAGAGAGAGAGAGTGAGTCAGTGTCTTTGGCTCATTGGAATCTAAGTCCCACCTTCCAGATGGTTCTTAAAGAGAGAATGATATACTGCAGTGACAATCCCTTCAAGTAAGAGCATGACCAGTCCCAAAGGAATTGTCGCAAACTCATTTTGGAAACAACAGCAAAGGCTTAACTCTCAGACTATGACTTCAAATTGTGATACACGAGTTGGTCCCTGCTCTCACAGCTGCGCATTGGATACTTTACTATTATTCGAGTTGTTTAATGTATCTGCTTGACTCAACTCAACTGCATCCCTAGAGTGTAGAAATTACTAAAAACACAAATATCTGCAATCAAATCAGTATTCAATGTGTGTGATATGTGCATTCCTCGAAAATTCATTCCAATTTTACAGACAATCAACATTTTGAAGCAGAAACCAATGCAAGTGTGCCCCTAACCACAGAGATGAGGCATGCTACAATAGGAACTAACAGATAATTTACATGAAATAAATACCTGAACACCTTGCTTGGCTTTAGCTTCCAGTAAAGAATCAAGACGAGATGATGCATGAGCATGAAATGGACGTCGTAAATACAGTTCTGGGCACAGCCACCATCCACATATGAATATCTGCATGAGATACTAGTCATTGTTCACATGCTTGATAAAATATCAAATAAAAATAAATAAATAAATTTTGATGATATGCAGCTTCAAGAAAAGACCTCAGATTTTGCTGCTTCAATTGCCAAACCTATAGCTTCAAATGCAGCACAACCATCAACAAACCACTGAGCTTGACTACCGTCTTCGGTCAAACCCCGTGGAGGAGCAAAAGACCCGAAACGGTGAGGGTGACACCAACCCTCTGGTGGCCGAAGAGCAGCATCATTGATTGCAGCAACCCAGTCTTTAACTTTTGCATTGCTTTTGGTTCTTAGCTTTATGCTTCGAGTGCCACAGGTCACCTAGCACAGAGATCTTTTAATTTATGGAAAGAGCAAGGTTTAAAATTAATAATAACAACCTTATTTGACTTCAGCACATGCCATGAACCCAAAGGTTGTTTCTACCAGAGTACAAACGATATCACAACCACCTCGCACTGGCTGAAAGTGGAAGAAAAACACCAGGACAAAAAGCTGCACTATAGGTTCTTCACAAAATAAAAGAACACTTACCCTGAAATAATGGCGCAAAGGATTGTGATCCTTCACTTCTTTTGCCAAAGATACTCTGCCCTCTCCATTACCATCTGAGGCCGGCAGAACATCAAAAACAATTATATCCAAAGGATTGGTGTCAAAAGGGTCTTTGAGAAAGGCCAAGAATCCAGGTTTTAATACAGCCCACACCTATATGTATAACGAGATTATATTAGACTTGAATGTTTGAGTCTGTAACAATCAATTCGTATACCATTCTTGGGGCATTAAAATGGTAGGGGAAAGAGCATGTCACAGAAGAAATTGTGACTTAGTTTAAGTGTGGCACAAAGGACTACAGCAATGCACTCGAGCTGAAAGACAAAAGGCAGAGTAGTACATAAAGCTCTATCCTTTAGTCTCAAGCTTTTTGTCAGATATATTGACAAAATAGAATACATCCCAGACAGAATCATCATCATTCTAAGTTTATTGAAAAGTATAATATTTGGCAGCTTGTGCTGATGGGAGTTGTCCACAAGTTGACCCAAAAAGGTCTATAACGGTTCAGAGTTGTATGTCATCTTTCTTGCTGCATCACCAAGTGCTTATACAAGTCAATAGCCGAGACATATTTAGGATATATCAGCAAGACAAGGAAGTAACTTGCATAAAAATTTATGAATTCTATAATTCAATGGTACAAATACAGATTTCCAGGTCAAGCGCTTATCATTATAAAGCTACACTATAGAAAGTAAATTTTTTTATGCATATTCCTGCATGAATGTTCATGTGGTCAATCCATTTAAGGAAGAAAATCAGAATTCAAGGGTAGCCAAATCAGACTAATTCCATCATCCATTCAGAGGAGAGCTGAGTGCCAGACACGCTGATGGTCCAAAGCCTAATTAGTGGCTCAACCTCAAAAGGCTAAAAAATTAGGGAATCTAAATATGAAACATCGACAGCATTACATTTAATGCTCAACTACAGAAGGCCGAAAAGTTAACAGAATCTAAAATATGAACCTTATGATCCACTAGATATCCAACATACCCAAATAATTACTCGAGGATGCTGCATTCATCAAAAAATGTTTGGTCTGAACTCCCAGTAAAGAATGGGACTATTCCAATTCACTGACAAGCATTCAAAATTGAAGGAAAATATTATCTCCAGAGTCAATAGTAGCCTTTGACAAACTAAATCTGCTTTATTTGTGAATGACCTTCATAATCTCTTCCAAATTGTATGTCTGAACCAGTGCACATACTAAATTAAATTAAAGATCAGAAAACAAGATAGATACCTCACATATTTATCCATGACTAAGGAAAGCATTCCATTCTTCTTTGTATTTATTCATGGGAGAGACATCAAACAGAAACAAAAGAAACCAAGGATCTTACATTCATAGTATCAACACTATATAAATGATTGCTGAGCAAAGAGAATACATGCACAGACAATTAAAATCCAAGGAGGCCACTTCCAAGCAGATGTTAACAGAAAAGCAATTGTTCTATCTGAATACAAATACAACCTTAATGAAACACGATACATGTGCATGAAGCTGACATCATCTGCATCATGAAAATTTCGAAGAAAGATCAATGTTACCTTTTGCCAGTTATCTCTGCAACAACTGCACCACTGGCATGAACAACATTTTTTTTCATCATCATCGTGCATAATTTTTGGTAAATGCTTCACCATAATATATTCTTCCTTTAGCTTAGGACCATATTCTGGCAAAAATGATAACTTGGAAACTTCCAAAAACTTGCACACCTAAAATTTGCAGTTGTTCACTCTAAAAGTCAGGGAAGGAAAACTTTCCAGCAGTAAATCTCAAGAAACAAAGGTTCAGCTTATACCAATATTCACAAAAAATTCCACGTGATACTTGTCTTAAAAAAAGAAGCTTAATTTAAAGAAAATATAGCAAACAATTACACACACACACACACACACTTGTTTTCACATTAGGCATTTTCCTTCTTATCATATTGATTCTATTTTGAATTGGATTCTTTTTCCAGTTGTAGCCATATGGAGCAGTTTTTTTTTGTTTTTTACAATTCTATATATAATTTCAAAAATGACAATGGTTAATAATATTTAGAGAATCCAAAGATCTGTTGAAAAATATTGTACTAAAATAATTACCAAGACGTAGAAATCTTCATATCATGCACCTATTATAGGCTTCCTACTCAATATTATACTCAACTATTCTCCTCACTCAGCTTGCATTTAAGCTTCCACCAAACAGACTATGATAAGAAGGCATTTTAATTAGACCGCAAAGAAGGTAGCTAGCTCAACTTAAAATACAGTAAGCAAGTGTACGGCCTTAATCAAGTAGTGAGTCAAGAAAGGGCTGCAATGAATTTAGACTGATATAAGATAAATTGGTACATGCTAAACATGATATTATTCCCCACTCTAATATAGTTAATATTGCCAATACTTTCATTCTGAACCTATGAAGAGCATAGCTTCTGTAGTTAGAAAAACTCTTGCTCCAAAACATCTTGAAGAGTTACTGAACTCTGAAAAACTGATTAAAAAAATTTTGAATGCTGTTTTACATCGATAGATCTGGCAAATACAAATTACCCACAAAATTATATAGCAGCATCAAGAGAGAGGCAAGCAATACCTCTCGGGAGTTCACAATATCCATATTACCAAGAAAGTGATTTAAGTATCCCTGCATTGCTACTTTTGCCCTGTCTGACATTGAATGCTGCCTTCCAAGTGCTGGCCGGATAATTGGGAGAGCGGCACTAGATGGAACATCTCTGAACAAAAAACCACCTGTAAGATTAATAACAATTACAACAGGAATAAAACTATTTCATTCTTCTTCTACATCTAAATAAGTCACATGTGACTAAAAAGCACCTGTTTCTAGCACTGTCATCATTACGTGAAGGAAGCGCCTCATCATCTTGTTCATCTTCATCTTGCGTAACTGCTGCATGTTCTCCTATTCCTAAATTTTGAAGCCATTCTCTAACCTTTGGGAAAGAATTTCCCATCAGAAGTAAGTCAAAGAAGGATGGAGATCAATATTCCCAAAAAAAAAAGGTCAAAAAAAAAAAATGTTGACAACAGGAATTTAAGCCTAGAACTCTGGCTCCTTTCCATACAGAAGACCAGAAATCAGGACAGTCAACTGATACCACTTTAATTTGAATATATAGCACCACATAATGTTATTACTAGACGTCAAAGTAATGATCTCATGGCTGAAAAAGGTATAGCATAAAAACAAAACTGATGTGAATCTAAATACCTGCTCTTGCTTCTCTTGCATCTCCTCAAAAAATGCTCGTTTTTTCAGAGTGAAGTGTAAATAAAAGACTTGAGAAGCTTTCTTCACTAACTGCCACTTAAACTATGGAACAATAGGATGACATTAGTGCTTCAGAAAGAAAACTTGAAACAGATAAAATGTAAATATAAACACCTTAGTACAGATTTATACAGATTATTTATAACATACTGTTAATATTTGCAGAATAACTCGTACTCAGTCCGTTTGTCAATTTGTTGCAACTTCATTAAACCCAAAAGATAATGAATTGATTGAAATTTGAAATTTCTTTTTTTTTCTTCGTCTAAAGAACAGTTGTTTTTATCACTGAAGAAAAAGGAAGGCTAATAGATTCAATTTATTTTGAATTTAAAATTCCATTGCAAATACATCAATTACAATTTGATATAATAGTTCAACGGAAAATACAATAAGGAAAAAAAAAACTACTTTTCACGAATCTCAAACTGTTAAAAGCTAAAACTCAACAACTACACAACGTCAGCATTTCCAAAAAATTCTTTAGGAATTCCACCAAATTGCACACTTCCAAACATATAAAACTACAAATACTTCCACATGTCCAAATTCCGTAAAATAAGCAAACTGAGGATATAACGCTGTATAAGTAATGCTTGTTTTTAGATCTCTTAATATGCAGCCAAAATAACAATAACAAAATAAATCTTCTTTTCAAATTCCAATATCTTTTAAGGACTGAGTTAAATGTTTCTTTAGCCACAGAACTTATACCTCCGTCACGCTTTACCCAGTAAACTTTAAAATGTTTTTGAATGCTCACTTAACTTTAATATGTTACACTCCATCACTCACTTGCCGTGTTTAATTAGTCGTTGAACTTTAAAAATGCTCCAAAGTGATCACTCAAATTTAACAAGTTGCACTCCATCTCTCACTCATCATGTTTCTTTAGTCACTAAACTTACAACCCCATCACGTCTTACTCACTGAACTTTAAATTGCTTTTGAGTGTCACTAAACTTCATAACGCTTTCGAGTAAAGTTGATTTTCTATGAGATTTAACCTAAATCAAGAAAATAAAATAAATATTGAGTAAATAATAACACTCTTAGCCCTTGTTTGATTCCTATTCTTCTAAAAATTAATTTTTTCAAAACTCATTTTTAACCACACATTTTTCAATAGAATAATATCACGCAAATCCAAAATTTTTCTTTAATTTTTAACTACGCATCAATTTACTATTCAAAATGCATCATTTTCCGCAAAATAGGGATCAAACACAGGCTTAATCTAAGATGAGAATATTGCTATTAGTATACAATACTAGTTGTCAAAAGCTATGTTCAAGGGAAAAAAAGAATGTTAGCTCCAAATTGATAAAAATCTTAATTTAGCCCCCGTTTGATGGCCATTAAAAGGATTTTTTTTTTTTTTTTTTTGGGGAAAATGAGTTTTAAAATAATGATTTTATACTTTTTAAATATTTAAATAAATGGATTCAGTGACCACTCGGGACCATTTTAAAGTTAAGTGAGTGAAGAGTGATGAAAGAAGAAGTTCAATAACTAATAAAGCATGGTGAGCAAGTGATGAAGTACATCATATCAAATTTCAATGACCATTTTGAAGTATTTTTAAAGTTCATTGACAACTGAAAGATGATGAGTAATGGAGTAAAACGTGTTAAAGTTCAGTGATCGCTAGAAAGTATTTTAAAGTGAGTAAAGTTTGATGGAGGTATAAATTCAATGAAACATTTAAGAACTAAAAATTCAACTTCTTAACGCCATCAATTCCAATAAAATTGCACCACGACTCCTATATAAACATATCAACACTCATCAAAGGCTGAAAATATTAAGTCAAAACAAATGCTGAAACAAAAATTATTATTATTATTTTCTTTGCCAAATTCCATTATGCTTGCAGTAACCTCGCTTGACAAAAAATGAATACTTATACATTTAAATGATCACGCAATACACATGCGATGTCTAATTAAAAGGGTAAAATTACTTTTCCTTGCCAAATTCCGATCTTTTAAGAACTAAAATTCAACTTCTCCTTGCCACTAATTCCAGTAAAATCTTCGCAAAAATCCAGATAATCGCACATATCACCACTCACACAAAGCTTAAACAGATACACCTCACCTGTTTGTATTGGAATTCAATTGTGTAAGTCAATAGCACAGGACTAATATCACCGGCGTCGGGTCGCGAAACTTGAATAATAGTAGCCTTGGGCAACTCATCAAAAATTCGAGTCGGCTCAGCAGTGCTTGGATGATGAAACGAGAAAAACGATGAAGTCATCGACTGCAACGGAAACGCCGCCGCCGTCTCCGATTGCATTTGGACGTACTTCGGTCCGCCTCCCATCAATTGCTCCGTCGACGCCATTAAATAAATAAATATTACAAATATCTATGGTTTACGTATAGATTGATGAATTGGATGAGAGAGAATTGAGATCTAATGGGATTGCTTAGAGAGAAAAAGACTCTGTGTGAGAGAGAGAGAGAGAGGAGAAGAAACGGAACTCCCGTTTGATTTTTTAAAGATCCGTTGAAAGTGATGGGAAAATGTAGATTTGTACGTGTACCTTCTAAATAGACCGGATCGTTGGGATCGAAGCTGGAGCAGAAATAAAATGTATGTTTGGCTATTGTTTGACAAATTATAAGTTAAATAGGGAAGTATAATTACTTTTTTTTCGGGTAAAAGTAAGGGGAAAAAAATAGGTTAAGCAAATATGTTAGGATGAACTCAAGATTTAATAATTTGTGAATCCTCTTAAAAAAATGATGAATGAATTTGAGAATTCAGTACATAATTTTATTAATTTTATTTACAAATTTCGACAATCCTCGCAGGAGCAGAGAATGTGTCGATGTTTCAATTGTGCTACTGGAAACTCTGGAGAAGATCCAATAGGAGGAACAGTGGACCCTCCTTTTTATTTCATTTCTTCTGCGCTTGAGAGAATTTGTTGATTTGTTGATAATTTTTATTAAATCTTCTCGTTCCTTGAATTTCTTTATTCATCACTCTTTTTCAGGTGAGGAACGTAGAATTTTGTTTCTTTTATTTGATTTGGTTAGGTAAATCAGGGGATTTTTTGAATTTAATGTTCCTTTTTTTTATATTGAGATTTAATTACTAATTAGCAATGATTAAGTGCGAGGACAGCCTATTTTAAGCGTAAAACAGAGTTAAGATTAATTGCCAGATAGATTTTGTTGGTCACTCTGAATAATTTTATTAAAAGAATGGAGAATTATTGCTTTTATTTTAGGTTTTTCTAACAAAATATTAAGTATATTAGTTTGCTTAAGTTATAATGCTTGCAAATTTGACAAATTAATAGGTGCTAAAACCAACATCGTCTAGATGTTTCACGGTGAAATGTGGCCGTTGGTGCGATGATTGTGATGGCTGCCATACAAAATATTACATGCACAAGAAGTAAAACTAATTTAAAATCGACTTATAAAAGAATGTACAAATTGACCCTCAGAATGTATGAACAAAAATAAGTTTGAGCGTTCATAAACAATGCATGAACATCATGAGCCTAACTTAAAATTGACTTGTTAGACAGTAAGCGTTCGACGTGATTATAAATGCAACTTACCACGCGTGGATTCAAAAGTAATGAAATACATACAAGAAATGGCCAGGGGAATAGATATAATGATTGCTCTAGATTGGGTTTTCGTGACATCATAAAGGAAAAGTACACAAACAAAAGGAAAATCTAGTTGAATAACGAAGGAAAACACGAGGAATGCGAAATTCACAGCCCAATACAGCTACACCTAAACGAACACTGGGCCAAAAATTCTAAATTTTAAGGAAAATGGTCTCTTGTAATAACTAAGGCATAAATAATATTTACATCTGTAAACCTCGTAAGAGCGGGATTAACATGCATTTTCCAGACTAAGCATACTCCGAAACTGTGCGATAATATGCAAAACCCGAGCTTGATTCCATTTTCATGTTCCAAATTCTTGATCCATTTATGCATTGTTGCCCTGAAATCCTCCATGATTCAGAGAAGCATTCTGCTCACCTGTGGAGGCAGGTTTATGCTGATTCACTGCCTGTGATGGCTCTCTCCTATCTACTTGCATTATTTCTCGGCGCCTATCGTATCGAGGACGAGGCCTGTTCCTTGCATTTTGTCGTTCATTGAACCTGTACTGTGGCCTATGGATGACTTTTCCATCAACGAACAGATCACCTATTGATTCAAATAATATCTAAGATACAAACTCGACTACAATCACGAGAGGATGAAAAGAACTTTGCTATCTGATTCAAAATTTTAGTGCACAAACCTCCATAGTCTTTATTAGGAACATCAAGGTATGAATCAGGTAAAACCCACAGAACTCCAGGTAGGCCTGTCAACATCAAGAAAGAAAAATAACCAGTCGAACCAAACTTAAACAATCCCTCAATTACTCCTTCAGAAAACCTCAACGCCAATCTCTCTTACAGACAGATTATTCTTCCATACTTCATAATGGATTAAGACACTAAGTGCAGAGGAGATCAGATGTATAAAAGCCAGTAACACGAAATGAAAAAATAAATGCACAATCAAGATAAATTTAGAAAATCAAATTGAAGCTTATGATCACATGCAGATGAGAGTTGAAACAGCCAAAAATAAATAAATAAATAAATAAATAAATAATAATAATAAATTGAACACCAAAGACAATTCCCGAGTTACTTGGCACCCACGAAAATTCATAAAATTGATTTCTAAACCAAAATTTAAACCATAAAGCACAAACAACATTAGGCTAAAGAAGCCCTAAAGATTCATCATAACACATAAAGAACATTTCATACCTTTGACTTTGTACGAGAGCTCTTCAGAGATTAGAGCACCAAACCCAGTGTACGTTGTTGTACAAACAGAATAAATTTTCTTCTTTGCCTCCTCTTCACTGCATATAGCAACCATTACAAAAAAATCCACGTAAACACCACAAAAAATCATGCAAGTTGTATATACGTAAAATATAAACAAAGTGTGCATACAGATGTATGAAATTACAAAGAAAGTAGTAACTCAGAGATGACGATGCTTTTCTCTCTTACTTGGTAATGAGCTCTTGGGGGGGGTTGACAATTGGTTCCAAGGGAAAGAGAGAAAAATAAAAAACAATTGTAAGTTGGGAGGAAGGAGAAAGAAAGGAAAAACCAAAGCCATGATAGATATTTCAAATAAATCACACCATCAACAACAAAAAGAGGAAACATCAATAGCCTCTGAAATAGTTCAATATTAGAAGACATAACATCTGCATATCCCATAAATAATTGAAAAGGTGGGTTCCCACATTCACAAGCTACTATAACGAAAAGTGTAGATGGGAAAATAAAACATCCCATTTCTTATTTTTTTGGTAACATGGTGGTGCAATCTCAACCAATGATTTGTAACTTCTGCACAATTGTGTGCACTGTTACACAAACAAGCCTTTTCTCCAATAATAATAATAATTATTATTATTATTATTATAATAAAAATACATATTCACTGAATTTGACACGAACACGTATGAGTATATCAGTGCATAAACAGAACTATGAATCGAACCTTATCTGCCATATATTACACGAGGACTCTTGTAATCATAACATGATATTAACAATGGTATAACATACGCCGCATGGATAAAAATTGTCGCACATGAAACATATTAAAAATTTCCGTTACATTGCTGTATATTACAAATGTCTAAAATGGACTTGGGCACATACCACAAGTGAACACATAATTCAACAAGGAGTTGTGTTATGTACACTATCATGGCATAAAAATATCGCACCACCTACTCTAAATTCCCACCAGAACTTTGAATTAATTGTTTAGAAACCACCATTATTTGGCAATATAAAAACCCTATTTGTGTTGAATACTTTAGAGCGTGGTTTGCTAAGCTTCAAAAGTTACCTACGTTGGATGTAACCGTTTTGTCTAACTTATTTTCAACTTAGTAGAGAATAAAGTCACTTTTCAACTTAGTAAAGAATAAAGTCACTTATCCAGATTTAAAAACAGGGAGCGAAGAGTCGGACTGATGTGTCATAAAATGATAGAGTATTTTTGTTTTAATTTTTTAAACTATCCAATCATGTGACGTGTCCCATCTAGACTTGAGCGTGGATGTTTAGCATGATTGCTTTATAAATTGTTTATTGAAACTTATTTACTTAAAGTAAACTTCTAAGCCCAGACAAACATACTCTATTTTCTTACAATCCAGTGGGCAGAATATATACTAAACAAAAACTGGGCGGCTTCCACACATAATTGGTTTTTATCGTAAATTCAGACAAATGTGTATAATTTTCTAAATTTTTAACACTCGAGCAAATGAAATCCTAAATCATTCAACTTTTATGGAAGCTTATCTGTGGGCGGCTTCCACGCATAATTGGGTTTCATAGTAAATTCAGACAAACGTGTATAATTTTATAAATTTTTAACACTCGAGCAAATGGAGTCCTAAATCATTCAACTTTTATGGAAGTTTCTCTGTGGGGTTTACCTTCCAACAACGGAGGCTAGGGTTTTGACATAAGCATTAACCATTTCTTCTTCAGAGGGCTTGGGGTCCGAATTGAATTCCATCACGATTAGCCAGTGCTCGTAATCGCAGCCATCGAGAAGTATTGTTTCCTTCGGAGGTCGGTTGCTCCAGTTTGGAGACGGATCGTTCAAAGGGGAATAACCCGAACCGGATGTCTTGAACCGTGTAGGGTTAATGATCGAGTTGGGTTGGTGAGGCAGTTGGTAGGTGGCAGTGGCGGTGTGGAGGAAGGGGAGGGCGATGAGGGTGCGACGGGAAGAGACGGAGCGTGAGAAGAGGGAGGCTAACGGGCGACGCGTGGCTAAGAGCGCAGCTGCCATCGGCGGCGAGAAAATTTGCAGGGTAGTGTCTGTGTGTACGAGTGAAACGGTCTATTAGAATGGCAATTTGGTAAGCTCGAAGGTTGCAGTCTATTTTTATTGAAAAATGCTATTCAACCAAGTTGTTTGACAAAAGGTTGACACACTTCTCACCGCTGTGGTGTGGGTCACGTGTGAATAAAATAATGTCGAGCTCTCATGTGTGTGTGATGTGTAAATACTCGTGTCAATCGATGTGATCATGTAGCACGATCTATTTTTATTTGGTCCTTGGTCTCTCAAATTGTATGATGTGATTAGCAGCTCTGCCAGGGTTTAAACCCAGGCTTTGGCAACAGGCGCAGGTGTCAGCCCCTGAGTCTTTTTTTTTTTTTTTTCCTTTTTATCTGTCCAATAATCATCTTGATCTTACTATTCTGATTGGAATTATCCAGTTTGAAAGAAACTAGGAAGAACACATTAAAAATTATGTCTGAATCTTCTAGTTCATCTATATTAGCACCCTCCACCTCCTTTCGAAAATCTACTGCTTCTAAAATCGACTCCCTTTATGAAATATCTTACCTATATGAATCTGAAAAAATCCCAGTTACCGATCTACCTCTTGTCAATCCTTATCTTCCATATAACAAACCCCGAAATTCCTTCACCAAAACTGTTAAAAGTATCATTTCACCATCAAAATCCCAAATCAAAGAATATGTTCAGGCATCAAAGTTTGATCAGCATCTTCTACCTGCTACTGAAAAGGAGCAGTTTGTTACCTTAGATTTACCATCTCGTCTTCCAAATGTATGGTTATCTGAAGGTTTTACCCATCTTCATTTTGGAGCTGTAAGAATTGCACTTACCCTCCATGGAAGAAAAGGTCTCCCGGCTATTTCTAGAATTGCTCTTCTAGATATACGATTTGCTGATTATCAACATGCATGTATTGGCACTGTGGAAACTACACTCAATGCGGGAACAGTACTTGTTACTATGTTTCCAAATTTTAATATGCCAATTGCAGATCCATTATTGTTATCAGCTTTAAAAATCCAAGTCCAAATTGTTGGAGCAGTTCCAACAGCAGTCACATATGGAGCAACACTTCATTACCAGATGGCTTACAGAATTCAAAATCACTCTCTTGATTTTGTCACTCCTAATGGGACGGATGATGCTTTATTAATTCAGATGGGAACAGATCAGCCAAGCTGTACATATGTCCCTAGACAGATTCCTAGATCCGAGCTCATTAAATTGGTCCCTCAAACCTGGGTTACTAGTTATGAGCAACATCACCAGACGTCAAAAGACTCTCTGCCTATACAATCAGCAACTCATCATTTTAGGAGAAAGTCAAATGGCGAAGTTGAGATCATGTTTCAAAAAGAACCTGCAAATAAAAAGCCTCCCTGTTTTCCAACACAGTTTGCTTTTTCCAATGGAGAAATTCCCATTTATGGATTTGATGCAAATGGCAGGCCAATTTATTGCAAATCTGATAACTCAGGACATATTTATTGGGATGTATGTTTCTGTGCAAAATGCATAGAAGATGAAGAATATCTATTTAACGATCGTCCTTCCAGGAAGAAGAAGAAAAAGAAGAATAGCCAACAAAAATTGCGTGAAGCATATGAAAACAAATCTGCAGGAGTTGATTTGTTAGGAGAACCCTCTGGAAAATTTGACTATTATGTCGAGTACACTCCACCTCCTACAAGTAATGAATCTATTATTCCTACTGGTTGGGATGATGATGATGATGATCCATGGGATTGCGACCAACTATATAAAAAATGGGACTGGGATAATAGTCCACCTCCATCTCCTCAGATAGCTATGCCTATAGCTATGTTCCACCCTCCTCAATAAGAAGAGTTTCCTCCATTGTCCTCTTTTGACAAAGAGCAGTCAACTCATGCCTGGAAGATCAGGAATCCCACATCCAGAAAATTGGATGGTTCAGTTGACCAACTTTCAGCAGCAGAAGCAGTTTTAAACTGGCAGTCAGTCCAACAAAATTCCCTATTGAGAAAAATTGACCAAAGTCAGCAAAGAATTGAAAGGACTCTACAACAATAAGCACAAACGCTATTAACCCCTCTTCAAGCCTGTAAACAAAAGATTGAAACCCTCCATGCTGAAATCATGACCCTTTTACAAAACCGTTTACCCATAACAGATCAAGAAAGAAAAATAAGAAATCTCAAAAAACAACTCATTTCTCTTGAAAACAATTCCATGATCCCACCTTCTACTCCATATCACCCTATCTCATATACCCATATATCACAAACTTCAGGACCCATGTATTCAACAGGAGCTTATGAATCCACATCTTCACTCTTCACTCCTGAAGAATGGGAAAAGAAATTGACACCTCTTTCTTATCCCGATATAAAGAAAACTAAACCATTAGCCTCACAAAATCTACAAACTTTACCTCTACCAAACCCAAAAAAAGACCACAAATGATGATAAAAAAAACCCCATAACCACTTTCCTACAAAAAAACTCAAAACCGTTCCTCTATAACTCCTATTTTAACCATCCCAAATGAAACTAGTTCTGAACTTGAAGAGTCCTCAGATGAATTTCCAGAAGATCATCCTCCTTTTTACATGGCTGACAGAACACAATCAAGTCAAACTCAACAAAGAATTCCTGTTGTTGATGAGTCAGAAATAATTGATGAGGAAATTGCTGATCCTCATATTGTGAACAATTATTATTCACAAAATAGTACTTCAGCAACCAAATTCACTTTTGATGATATTCCTCCAGCTTTGTGGAAAGCAAGATTTCAAGAAATGAAAGCATGGTGTTTAGCAGAATTACAAAGGCCAAATATGACTCATTCTGCAGTCAAAAATCTTTTCTGGCAAGAATCACTGGGTTCTTAAAATATTGGTATGATGCTCTTGGAGAATATCGCCAGATCCAATATTCTAATTCCCCAACAATAGATGCTTTCATAGAATCATTATATTGGGAATTCTGTAGAAAGACGGATCATTTGAAGGATATTGCAAGAGAAGAATTCTTCAAATTGAAATGTTGTTCTTACAATCCTAAAGATCTAGATAAACATTTCCACAATGCTGCCAGGCGATACTACCTCATTGGTGGAATGGACGATACGAATATAAAGCAGGCTTACTTAGAGTCCATCCCACAGCCTCTTGGTCAAGAGACACTCAGAATGATTGAAATAAAAGAACAATCATTGGAAACCACTTCATTTGGAGAGCTTCACAACTGGGTCAAGAGAACCTTGAAAAAACTCTGCAATCAAAGAGAGTTTTTAAATGATATCAGTACAATATGACAGAAGCTTGAAAAGGCGTGTGATCAGCCAGATTTGAAGATTAAGTGCCAACATGATAACAAGAGTTGTGATTGTCCAAAAAAGAAGAAATTCCACAGGAGAAGGTTCAAATTTCGGAACAAAAGATTTTCCAAATCTTTTCCTCGAAGAAGAAGATATTTTAAAAGGAAATTCACAAAGAAAAAGAGAGACATGTGTTTTATCTGTGGAAAGAAGGGCCATTTTGCAAAAAATTGTACCAACAAAAAGAAGGAGAAAATTTTACACCAAATCTATGCAGCAACAAAAGTGGAAGAAGAAGCGGACCTTGAATCGGTATTCTCTGAAGAAGATGAGCAGTCCCCTGAAACTATCTTCGTACTGGAATTTGACTCCGATGACGAGAGCACTAATGGCTATGACAGTATAGAGGAATGCTATGGAATGCAAGTAATCAATCTTAGTCTTCCAGTTCCGATGATTGAAGTCAAAATATTTCCAGGAAAATATGAAAGACCAATCACAGTTGCAGGTCTATTCGACACTGGAGCAGCTTGTCCAATCTTAAATCCAGCCATTCTCCCTAAAGACATGTGGAAAACACATCAGCAAATATTCCAGGCAGCCAATAATGAGTATTTTTCAACAGAGTTGATAAGTAAGCCAGTGACACTTCAGTTCTTTCCTAAATGTAATGTCTTACACAAGTTACTTGGATCATCTTTACCAGGGAAGGATATTGTAATTGGTTTTGACATCATTCGACAATTGTGGGCAAAACGTGTTATTCCTCTTCCAAATGGCCTCAGATACAAGTCCTACTTTTTGCCATACATACAACCAACCACATATTTTTCCATAACCAGCCTTGATGATATAACAAGCCTATTAATCCGAGAATGTTGTGCAGATTCTCATACAGATTTTCTCACCAAATGCACTCACCCTCTATGGAAAAATCCAGATTTTTTCATAGCCCTACCTTTCAAAAGAAATGAAGACGTTAACCCTACTAAAGCCAGCCATATTGGAATGAGCCCTGAACACCTCCAGTTAGCAACCAAAGAGTTAAGCCAATTGCAAGATGAAGGTCTCATTGAACCTACTACTTCTCAATGGGGATGCAAAGCATTTTATGTCAACAAAAGAAGTGAACAAGTTCGCGGAAAAATGAGACTTGTGATTGATTATAAACCATTGAATCACTTCCTTGCTAATGACAAGTTCCCTCTTCCAAACAAAAGAACTTTATTTGCCAGTCTGTCCAAGGCGCAGATATTTTCAAAGTTTGATCTAAAAGCGGGATTTTGGCAATTGGGAATTAAGAAAGATGAAAGGCATAAGACAGGTTTCTGTATCCCAAACTACCATTATCAGTGGACAGTTATGCCATTCGGTCTTAAGACGGCCCCCTCATTGTTCCAAAAGGCTATCACAAGAATTTATCATCCAATATTAGAGTCAGCATTAATCTATATTGATGATATTCTCTTGTTCTCAAAAGATGCCGATTCTCATTCTCAACTGTTGTCTCAATTCGCTGATCTGACAAAACAATTTGGAGTAATGCTTTCTCAGAAAAAAGATGGTTATTGGAGTCTCTGAAATTGATTTCTTGAGCATGCATATTAAAGATGGTCAATATTCTTTACAACCACATGTTGGTCAGGAATTGTTAAAGTTTGCAGACACAGATCTCTCTAAACGAGAAGTCCAACAGTTCCTTGAGATTGTAAATTACATGGCCGATTTTGTTGATCATTTAACTCCTATTATCA